TATATATTTTTATTTATAAATAAATAATTAAAATATGCAAAATATAAATATTAAGATAGTATTTATTTTGTCAATATGTGTATTGATAATATTTTTAATATACTTTAACTCTGATTTTTATATTAAAGGTTAAGTATAATATATGTTTTGCTGATACATATATAGAACTATTAAAAATCTTAGTAAAATTTGCAAAACAATATAAATTTTGATTTTATCACTTTTGCTTTGATATAGTCTAAATATTATATAATAAAAAATATAACTTTTAATTAATTTTGTTATTTTTGTTATATTTTTTTATTCAATACATGTATTGAATAGTATCAGAAAATATAAATTTATAAAAACAAAAATAAATTTTTGATTTTGTTATTATTGTTATCATTTTGGTTCAATATGCGTATCAGAAATTAAAAATTAGTTAATAATAAACAAAACAAAACAAAATAAACTTTTAATTAAATTTCATTATTGCTCTCTATTTCGAGAATTTTGTTAATTTAAAACAAAGAACAAAATAAATTTCGGCATTTTGAAAAATTTGTTAAAAATAAAAAAAAAACAAAACAAAATAAATTTTTAATTAGATTTCATCTTTTCAAAAAATTTGTTTCTTTATTCTGATATGTATATTGAATAGTATTCAAAAACTGAATAATCTGTTAATAATAAAACAAAACAAATAAACTTCTAATAAATTTCATCAATTTGATATATATATTGAAAAAGATATTATATTTAAGTATAAACTATTAAGCTTAATAAACTAAATATAAATAGACTAAGGTGGTATTGTTTCACAATATCATTACTTTGTTATTCAGTATTGATATCTCTATTATGACTTATAAAAAAAATAAAGTAATTATTAAAAACTTGCTGTATTACAAACAAAAAAATGTAAGTATAGCAAAGTGCTATATTTCTATAGTATATGCAATGTTAAGAAAAAGATTTAAGAGTTAAAGCAGAACATGAAGCACAAGAAAAAAACCTCTTAAAATAAAGAAAAAATGTATTATATCAAACTACTAAGTTAAATATTAGCTAGAAGATATCTCTAATAGTGAAAGGTCTTCAAATATAATAAATAAAGTTGCTTTAATGAATTAGAATATTGCTTTCATAGGTCAGGATATTGGTTTAACAGATAGTGAAACATCAGATAATGAGACATACAATTTTTTACCTCTTCATCAGTCTGAAAATCTTCAGTTCCTTGTCAAGTAGTTACCTAAAGATTTTTATAATTCAAAATTATCTTTGTTTTGTTCTGGTGAAGATTTGTCATTCTTTTCTAATGAAGACAATAAAAATGATAATATGAGAAGTGATAAAGATTATAAATCTAAGGAAGAGAGTGAAGAAAAGGATGTAATAAATTTTGATGTATCTGATATAGATAATAGTTTAGAAGCCAATATCCAAAATATTAATAATGAAGTGCTGCGAATTATATTATAAAATTTTTGTTACTAACAAAGATATTAGTATTCTAATATAAGCATTTATGTATTGTTTAAATATTTTTGGTTTTTGTTAACTAATATTAGCAAGAACAAATATGATAGCTTTTCTACTTCAATTAATATAGCAAAAAATATTATTGGTATATCTGATTATACAACAAGATATACCACATACGAATCTTGTTGTAAATTATATAATCCAAAAGATATTATAACAAAAAAGACAAAACAAAATCTGAAAATACTTAATTGTATCTATGTAGAGTTTTTAAACTATATATATATTTGAATATTTAATTTACAATAATCAATTACATGTATATATAGTTGTTATTTAATTAAAAACTAAGAGAGTAAAAGAATAAAATATACTAATAATTGCAACTGATATGAATATTTCTTTTAATAGTGAATATTATAATATAATATTATGAGTGTTTCTAAAGAAAATTAGACTTCAGGTTTTTAAATTTAGAATTTACCAAACTTAGGAATTGTCAAATAAGTTAAAAACTTAAAAGCTTGAAGTAATTGAATTAGACATTATATAACAATGAATTAATCAAATGATGATTATAGTTCTATTTCTTTAATTATGTGTATATAAGAATATAATGATTATAAAAATTATCAGTTATACTACATAGCTCTATTTCTTTAATTTGTGTTTACAAAAATATTGATCATAAAAATTATCAGTTTATGTGTAATAGTATCTTTTATTAAATATAAAAATTAATTGTTTTCATATTTCTTTCATTAAATATAAAAAGTAACTATTTTTATATTTCTTTCTTTCTCATATTTTTTTCACTAGTATTACTTTCATGAATAAATATTTTTTTTCATATAGCTCTTTTTCATTTTTCCTTGTTAACTTTTTTTTTCTTTTCACTAGTATTACTTTAACAAGTAAATATTTTTTCACATAACTTCTTTTCATTTCTCTTATTAACTTTCTTTAATTAACAAGCCTTTTTTTATTTTTCTCTGATAATTTTTCCCTTTTCTTCTCTTTGCTATTTCAAATAGAGATAAATATATCTTTCACTATTCAAACAGTTCTTTTTTATGTTCATATTATTTATTTATTTATTTTGATTTTTCTATTAGCTTTCCAATACAAGTAGGTACTTCTTTCAATAATTACTTTTTGTTTTGAGATTCCTATTTGAAAGAATATAAGGATATCAGATTTATTAACTTTATTTTCTTAGAGAGCTAACAGAAATTAGGTGATTTAACTTTACTAAAAGGCTATCTCTACTCACCCATACCTGATATATTAATCAACTAATCAAATTTCTTTTATCTATTATATATAAAAATTTCTTAATAAGTATAAATATTGTAACACATATAAATAAAGAGTAAAATATAATAAATTATAACTTGTTAAACTTGTATATTTATACTAATACATTCAACTCTTGATATACCAAACTATATATTCTGAAAGATCTTGTTTGGTATAGAGTAAATTTGTTATATAATTTATACTCTCTATACCAAACAGTTTGGTATATAGAGCTAACTAATAAAATTTGCATATAAATGAGTTTGTTTCAGAAAATCTCCAAAAATTTTTGCCTTGTCCTTATATTTTCTTCTCAAAATATTTCAGATCTCATAACTTCTCAGATATGTATATTTGCAAAGTCTTATGATAGTTCATTATATCACATATATATACATAGTTCTGAGTTGATAAAAAAAAGTTCAGATGTGGTATATAAAGTTTTACTATTTGAGTTTAGTACAATCAGTCTAAATTATTATAAAAAAATCTGTTCTGCCTAATTTAGTTTGCTAAATTCTGATTTTGGTATAGGCAGATTCAATATATCTAGAATCGACTATATATAGTTATACTAACTTCATTTATCAGTACACAAAAAATTTTGCATTTTCTAATTATTAAATTAATCTTGTATTTGCCTGTTATGCAACTGCATTAAAATCAGAGCATTATTTTATTGAGTTTATACATAGTATCACTATGTATATACAAAATAAAATGCTTTATTATTCAAATATAGTAAAAAATGAAGTCTCAATTATGAATCATTCACTTAATATGTAGTACTGCAAACAGAGATGTAATGATAAATTTAAGTCAAAATCCTAACAAAATTAAACTAGAGCTATAGATAATATTACTTAATGCAACTGTTAGGATTATTTTATTGGGGTTTTGACTCACATTCAGTAATAATAATCTGTATCCTTGTTCAAATCCTCTATATCACATATTATTATTGTCATTATAGCTCTTATGATTCTGTATTATTATACAACTAGTATTCAATACAATCAGCAAAAAGCTTAGTATAAAATACCTGATAAAGCCAAATATCTAAAATTGCTACATAAATGCATATATATATATATGTTAAGATCTTTAGTCTTATTTGAAATAAAGTTTGAGAACTAGTGAAGATACAAAAAAAATATCAAATCCTCGTGAATAATACTGTATAAATATGAAATAACTCTTAGGTGTTATTTTAAACTTGAGTCTTTTAAAAATAGCTTACATAACCTCGAATTAGCACCTATGAGAATCCCAAATTAATGCACATCCTAATATTGTATATAATTTATCATGATATACAATTAATTCTCTATAAGTGCAGCTACAAAATAATGCATAAGCAGGTATTATTTCATATTCATACAGTAATAGTTAAATTAAAGGGACTGTGTGATTACTCAGGTTCAAAAAAAAAAGAATAATAATCTATAGTTAATTAGAATTCATGTGTTTAAAATAAGAAAATAAGGAAAACTAACCAGTATTAAGCCTTCAAAAGACTATTCATATAAATTTGGAAGAATCTTAAAAATCTTGTACTTTACTCATATTAAAATATATTGTTTAATGAATTCACGAAGCTACATATTACTATCAAAAAAAAAAATTAAAATATTTTAATAATATTGCATAATTTTTTTAAAGAATTGCAATATATTAGCTAATAAAAACTTCTGAATCTTGAATAAATATTAAAAATTGAAAATTTGATAAATAAATCTATTTTACAGACTAGCAAAAACAAAAGTTAAAAAATAAATAAAAATAAATAAAAAAAATAAAGAATGCAAAGATTTTTAAATACTCCTAAGTATGATAAAAAATATATTTTTAAAAATCCTTCAAACTTATATAAAAATCTTTGCAATGCATATGTTTATCATATGATAATTTCAATGAATAACTCTTCTCCGAAAAAACAAGACATTTTTAGAAAAGTACAAAATAAATAGAAAACAGTGAAAAGTTTAGATAAAGGCATTATTGAATATAAAATAGATGGTTACCTAAAAGCTCTTCTTCAACCTATTCAATATGTATCTTTTCTATCTATACTATCTTTAACAAATCAATCTATAATTGCAGATAAAGCTAGTTCCTTATCTGTATTGATGATAGAATTAGAAGAAATGCCTCCAAATACAACAGCTCAAAGATGTTCATTAAAAAAGCAAAATATTGCTAAAGATCAGCTTGATGAACTAAATTTATTACTTAATATCATACATAATCCTAAAAGAAGAAGTGATTTCTTGGTTCAAATTACTGAAACAAAAAGAGAAATTGAAGCTGAGAAAAAAGAAAAACAAAGATTACAGAAACATGTTGCTATCCAAGCCAAAAGTCAAGAAAAAAATGAAGTCTTTGGAAGAAAAAGGAGAAGTTGTTAGATATGATATGCCTAGATGACTATCTTTTCTTCTTTTGAATTATAAACTTTCTGAACAGTTATATTTGTGTGTTGAATTCAGTAGTACTGCTAAAAAAAGATGAAAAGAAGTTATTAAAGTACGCATAATTTCTCACTTAAAAAAAGAAATAGAAGAAAGATATCAGATTTATATATCATGTACCTGTTTAAATACATATATGTAGCTCAGACAAATTGATTCATTACAATCTAAAAGATACTACTACTCTATGTTAATTCAAGTAAACTCTGTATCAAGGAATGAAATGCTAGAACATATTAATAAACATTATTGTTTGCATATAGTTAAAGGTGCCAAACAGTTTGTATATTCTTTTGTTTTTCATTCTGTAATTATATCACAGGATAATAAAGCAAAAATCCTTCTAGGTATCCTAGCTATTAGTAAAACATTCAAGACTTTACAAACTGTCTAAAAACCAGTAACTATACTCAATTATAACTTTCTAAAAAGGAAAAAACAAAAATTAATTCCTTCAGTTTACTTTACAATTGATATGAACAATTCTGATAATTCATTATATAATGATCAACTATCAATTTTTATTCGCCTCACAGTAGTCTCTTAATATATTATCCTTAACTCACATAGCTAACCTATTATCTATAATAAAAATCCTGTTCTAAATGAAGCATTAAAGTGTGAAGATAAGGTTAAGCCAATTCTAGTCTTGTTAGTAGATGACAGTTCTGACGAAAACTTTAGGTATCTAAAAAATATAAAAAAATACTATAAATTATTTTTGAAACTAAATTTAGATTATTTTATTATCTGAACTTATGCACCAGAACAGTCAGCCTACAATCTAGTAGAGCATAGTATGTCAACTCTTTCAGAGAAGTTAGCAGATATTGTTTTGCCTATTGACCATTTTGGCTCTCATCTCAATTCTAGTAGTAATGTTATAGATAGTGAGTTGGCAAACCAAAACTTTTGTTATGCTGGTGAAAGATTATATAATATTTGGCAGCAGGACTATATTCATAGAAAAGAAGTATTAGTTAAATATGTTAATTAAGAAGCTAATATTTTTGCGAAGTTTCAAGTATATCTTAGAGCTGAATAGAAAATCATTATCAAATATATTATTACTCTTTGGATATTAGAAAATGCAAAAATCTTACATGTTGTTCTGTGTAGAGAGCTGAAGAAGTACATGCCTTGTTAGATGAAAATAATAGATTTTTACCATTAGCTACTAAAGGTCGAGATAGCCATTTTCTTAATCCTATACATATACTCCAATATATAGAGCAAACAAAACTTCTAGGCTATCAATACTACCCCTCTATCTTCTCTGAATTATATTCACAATTAGTTTGTTCTATCTATAATTGATACTTTCCTACTCTATTCTTTCTTACTCAGCATAAAAAATTAAAATATTCTTCTTGCCAGAGCAGAAAATCTAAACCTTAGATAGCAACTGTGAAGTATCTTCCTAATTTTACTTCTGGTGAAAAAATGATGTTAGATGTTTTTATTCCAAGCTTTTTTTCTGATATTAAATAATAAATAAATTGAGTGTAAAAGAAATATTCAAAAAAAATAAAGGTAGTAAAAGATAAAATTATACTTTAATCCTCTGCATTCAAAACTTAAATAGCAAAACACTGAAATTTTTACTGATTTTTACAAAAGATAAAAGTTAAAAGCTTAGGGAAATTATTTCTATATTAAAGCAGTACATTTCACAAAAAATCTAATATCATTTCAACTAAGCCACAACTTACTATTACTGTTTTTTTATATTCTTACAAAGTAAAAAGTGGCTTTATATATAGAAAGATTAAAATTTGAAAGTATGTTTTGTATTTGCTTCTATTGCTTATTTACATATGCATATTGGAATAAATCACCTAAGTTGAATTGAAATATTAATAGCTAAGTTAATTCTGAATTTATTGCTCTATTTAACTATATATTCAAGTAGACATATTACACAAAGCTATTTATATATTTAGTCTAGCTATATATTCTACAAGCGCACATGTATTGCAAAGCTATTTATGCAATATCTAGCTATATATTCTATGTATATACAAGCATAATTATATATTATTTACTTTGGAATTGATTTCAATATGTATATATACAATATATATTTAGTTAGATATATATATATATGTATATATATGCCATATAAAAATATATATATACTATATAGACCTGATATTTTAGTTAACCCACTCATCCACTAAAAAATCAGCTGATTTCTGTCAAGTCCCTTATAGTTTTCTAACTATAGATAAATATTTTTTCAATATTCATTACTCTTTTTTTTTTTTTGAGGATTATTGAAGTATCAGATTTTCTGTATTCATTTTTGAAATTTTGGAAATTTTGGTTATTTTTTATCTGATAATTATATCATAGTAAAAAAATTAACTTTTTTTCATTTTGAACCTTCTTTAAAATCATACCAAACAATATATTCAAGAAAAAAGCATTGTTCATGTTTCTGTTCTAGCTTCTATTTACTGAATTCCTACTCTCGTTATCACAAACATCATTCTTATTCATATTTATATACTTGCTATTCTTATTTATATACTTATTATTCACATTTATATTCATATACCTGCTATTCTTGTTTACATACTTGTTGTTTATATTCATGTTCATGTACCCACTATTCTAGTTTACATACCTACTATTCTTGTATTTACCATTCTTACTCACCTTCTCCTAAAAGATCACATAATCATGATTGTAATAGGTCAAAGAATATTAAAAGTACATTTTTTATTATAAGGCTATGCAAATTTAATTAATTGGTTCTCATAACCTGATCGATTTTTTTTTAAAATTTTATATATAATGATTTATAAAAATTTTATAAAATTTTTATAAATCATTATATATAAAATTTTTTAAAAAAACCAACTAGGTTATAAGAACCAATTAATTAAATTTGTATGGCCTTATAATAAGAATGATAAGGATATTAGCTGCACAATATTAATACAAATCTAATCATATGACCATTTTAGAAAGAAGAGCATTGAGAGAAGATAAGCAATAATGATTTTATTATTTATAATATGAATATCAGCTAATAATTATTACTAATATTTTAGAAAATTCAGCTCTAAGATCCTAAGTTGTCTTGCTTGAAGAAAGACTAGAACGTCTTGAAAGAGCCCAATCATTTGACGCCTTGTCTGAATACATAAATACATAACTTCGAAGATGCTGCATTACTTGTATACATATTGTAAAACCAAGAGTACAGCCAATTATTTGTTTACATTATGCAGGAGACAATTTATATGAAATATCGATACTGTTTAAAACAACTTCTAGCATATTTTTTTTAATTTTTATAGCAAAAATGTTAGATGAAGAAATTACTAAAATCACTAGCAAGTTGAGTTTTACGGATTG